CCGTTCCAGGAGATGGGGCATGCTCACCACGATTATTGCTGCGCAAATACTCCCTCCATTCACGTCTGGTAAGCGGGGATAGGGCTCCTGACTCCAGGGCGCTCGCAATATTGCCCATGATGCGCTCGCATCCTTGATTCCATTCACCCCGCCAGTGGCTGGAGTACTCCTCCAGTATTTCGCTCATCGGAAAGGCCCAACGATCTTCACTGGGACTCCCAAGGGGAATGTAGCCGTGGATTAACTTGATCTCTTGGTGAGAGAGCTGATCATGGAAGACAGGCATGTTCAAGAATGTGGAGGTTGTGACATGGCCCCTGTGGTGGGTAGTGACCTGGGACGAAGGTCCGCTCATGAATTCCTCTACTAGTCTGTCACCACTGTAGAAACGCGCAATCCAACTTGTAGGGCCTCCCATAGAAATAACTGCTCGTGCGTGTGGCCGACGAAGAATGTCCGCCAGTTTGCCTAAGTACTGATCCATGAAGGCAGAGCCGCCTTTGCTGTATGTGAGAGGCGTCTCTTGAAAACCAGTGTCATAGGTGCGTTTTGTGAGGTCGGCAAGACTGGGCTTTTCCTGTTGATGAAAGCGTGGAAGTGCTTCGAATGGAATGGCTATGATGAACTTCATGCCTCTCCTAATCGCGAGCTCCAGCAAGTGGCGCATGTTCGTGAAGAAGAGGTCGCAGGCAGCCCAGAATCTAAGACGTATTTGTGTCCTGTTGTCCGGAAACAGGATGACACCCTCTTCCAGGAATGCGGGACTCCACGTAACTCCCATGGGGGCGTGCCAGGTATTTGAGCTGCCAGTAATGATACCATGCACGCGCAGCCTGCGGACGTGACAGGTGATTCGTCGCTTCGGCGTTGGTAACGCGCTCGATAGGATGGGGAGGATGAGCGAGGCCTGGGATACAGGCTGGCTCTGTTCGAGGTGCGTGGGCCTGAACGACCGCGCTCTGGCGCCGAGGAACTGCTCCGGCTTGAGTGGTGCTTACCATCCAAATCATAAAACCATGGCATAGGCCAGGAAGGCCTTGTGCATAGCTCCACATACTTTTATGAAAAGTATATCATATATATCCCAGGCCCTTTTATGATAAGGATTTTTTTCATAAGAGGCCTTGTGCATTTCAATAACTTTTCATTGCAGGTCACAACTTATCATTAACTGCTTTTCATTGCAGTCCAGCCATTTTCATTGACCACTTTTCATTGCTGGCCAGCCCTTTTCATTATCCACTTTTCATTGCTGCTGGCATTTTCATTGGGTGCTTTTCATTGCAGGCCAGGATATTTCATTGGTAGCTTTTCATTGCTCTCTAGGATTTTCATTGGCTACTTTTCATTGCAGGCCAGCCTTTCTCATTGACCACTTTTCATTGCTGCTGGTATTTTCATTGATAGCTTTTCATTGCAGGCCAGGATATTTCATTGGATACTTTTCATTGCAGGCCAGCTCTTTTCATTGACTGCTTTTCATTGCTGCTGGTATTTTCATTGGTAGCTTTTCATTGCAGGCCAGGATATTTCATTGGATACTCTTCATTGCAGGCCAGCTCTTTTCATTGACTGCTTTTCATTGCAGGCCAGGATATTTCATTGGAT